CTTCCTAAGAGTTTAATAAAAAATAAAATGCTACCATAGCAATTGAGGCCAGGTGAATTTCCTCATCTCAGTAAGTTGGTGGATGTTAGAACTCTCCTGGATTCAGTTACAACCAGGAGGACCACTGATGCAGGGCACGGCCAGTTGAAATGGAATTCAAGACCTTTATGCACAGCCAGATCCTGCGCTGAGGTTTTAGATGGAATCTGCAAATGTGTGCAATGGGGATGAGCTACTAGGCCAACAGGCCTCCCCCGCAGTTCCTCTCTAGACCAGCAGGCCTAGGCCTTAGCCAGGTGGGAGCCGGACCACATTTAGTCCTTCCCAGAACCACACCCTCAGAGGCTGACGACTTTCACGACAGCTAGAGCCACTGCCAGCGGTGAGTGGGTCATTTCTGGGAACGCTGCTTTCGGGGTGTCTCTCAGGATCCTTAAGTAGCACTCACTTCGTGTCCGCAGGAGGTGTGGGTTTTTTTGGCTGTGATGCCAAAGAGGTCCTTACCTGCAGGGAGCAGCCTGGGTGGCAGCCATGCTAGCTTCTTGGAATGCTTTCCAGCCCTGGAGAGAAAGATGGCAATTGAGCCTCTGCAGGTCTAACCGCTTCTACTGAGATGCCTCTTTGTGTGAGGGTATTCCTGAGCCTGGGACAGAGACCACACAGTCATTTCATGGATGCACATCCTGTCAGGTGTGGCTGACATGGTCAGCTCCGTGTCCAAGATTTTATGAACTTGGCTCTTCAGGGAGGCCGCATAGTGGACTTGTAATGAACATGGCCTCTCGAGCCAGGCTTCCTGTGTTTGAATCCTGGCTTTGCCACTTACTGGCTTTACACCCTTGGGAAAGTTGCTTAACTTCTCCATGCCTCAGTTTCCTCATACATAAAAGGAAGATAATAATAGCATCTGCCTCAAAGGTACTCTAAAGTGCTTAGCACACAGTAAGCACTTGGTGTGGCTATAATAATGATATGCTTTGTGCGTAGGGTGGTCTGGTGGTGGTTTTCCAAATTTGGGGAAGGATTGTGGGCTTCCTACTGAATAGCCTTGTTTGGGTACTGAGTGTAGGTGGGAGAGCTGTCTTCTAGAGCATACCCTTGATATTTTCTACCCTTTCCAGTACCTACTTTTTCTCTATCTTTGTCATTTTTCCTTTGCACACCTGACCACTCACTCGCCTGAGATTAAAGAGTGTGTTATAGTGTAGTTGGAATCAAAAGACCAGGGTCTGTGGCCTGCCTGGCTCAACCACTTACTGCTGTGTGAGCTTAAATAAGGTCCTGTACTTCTGTAAGCAGCAATGGGGTGTTGGGGTTGACACAAGGCTGCTGGATATCTCATAGAGGTGGAGGGATTGTGCGTGCTGTATCCATGGGAAAATGAAACAAAGCCCACACATAGGAAATTCCTGGTGTTTCTCCTCTGGAAGCTAGAACTTACCTGGCTGTACCTATGAATTAAAAAGAATCAGAGTGATTTTTACCTTTCCTCCCTCCCTTGCAGGGAGATGTATAGAGGAAAATGCACCGGACTGGGAGTCAGGAGGCCTGGGTTCTATTAAGTGAGGTCTTCGGTGCACAATGATGGAATTTCTCTACTATGTGATCCCACCGTGTTGAGTGACTAAGGGCTTTCCACTCACACTGTGTTCACAGCCTCCCTGTATTACTAGAGCTGTGTAGTGAGCAACACTGTATTATTATGAGTGCCGGCAATAGTTGTGGCTTGATCTGGTGACTTCTTTGTCCTGTCTTTGAAAATAAGGATCTTGGACTAAGTGAATTTTTGGTTTCTTACAGCTTTAAGGTGATACGAAGGCTTATTATTAGATATACACTGTCTCTCCTATGACCAGGTTCCTTTTTTTTTCATAGTGCTTCATGCTGCCTTCTTAGATTTTGCTTGCTGTTTTTCACATATTTACTCTTTGTCTCCAGTACCCCCACCCCCACTTCCAGGCTCCTAGAATGGAAGCCGTGTGAGAATAGGGACCCGCCTGGTCTGGGTTGGCCAGCAGTGCTAGAATAGTGCTGGTCGCATTTTACGTGCTTACTGAATATACACGCAGGCCCATGTACACATGTGGAGCCATATGCTATGATGTAGTTTCATGACTTTGTAGAGACGAGGAAGTCACTTGGTTATTCTTCCTCCCCCGACCCCTTCGCCCCACCCCAAGATACACCATGTTGTTATTTGGAGATCTGAGGACTAGAATTAAGAATGGTTGTATTGTCTGTCTTAAGACTTTGTGTGTGCATACAGTATCAAAGGACAGCACTTCCTGTTATTGGGGGAGGCCCACAGTTGAGGGCCGAGGACACTTAGCTGTTATGGTGATGTGTAGCATAGGTTAAATGAATAGTGGAGGTGGTTGACAGGAAGCACATATAAACCTTAGAATCGTGCTTACATAATATTGAGATTTCGTATTGCTTTTGTTATTTGGCCACAAAAATGGACATAATCCTTGTTGGCTTTAACACAACGACTAGTACTGCTTCCGCTATCCATCTTGCAAAATATAAGACAAGGCCAGAGCTTAAATTAAAATCCTTGGCTTCTTATCTCCTTCCCACAGGAAAGCAAATCTGTGTTGAAAACCGTAAAATTAAGAGGAGAGCAAGGATAGCATAATTTAGCAAAAATTCATGGCACCAGATTCTGAGCTATATGACTGGAGGGATGGGTCAGGCATTAAGAAGATGCTGCCTGCTAATGCAAGCTCCTTAAGGTGGTGCTCTGGAAATAAGACAGGCATGCAAAATATATGTATTTCCAGATGGTTTCTGCAATGCTTACTGTTTCCTTATAACTGCTGTAAGAAAATATCTGTGTAGATTGTTTGACAATTACGCTTCTTATGGGACTTTGGAAATGAAATGCAAAGCAGTTATTCTAAAGTATAGTTGAAATATGTTCATTTTAGTGTTTGGGTGTTGAGATTTTTGTTTCCATTTTAAAAAGGGTTTAGAAGGATATCCTCCTATCCCTGCACCCACCACCCCACCCCCTACCCCCTCCTCCTCTAGCATTCTAAATTCCTTGTATTTAAGAAGCTCATCTGTGTATTTGGCAGACTGCATCATTAACACTTGAAAAGCACTGAGATTTTTTTTTAACCTTTTACACATTTATATGCATAGATGTCTGTGCTGAGGTACATAGAGAAAAGGAGTGTGGCTTTGATAATGGTGCTCTATTTAATAAATGCCAAGGGCTATGCAAGCTATGCAAGCTCTGCCATTAGAGAGGAGCTGATCATTATAAAATAAGGAAAATATAGTATGGAAATTGTCATTGTCTAAAAAAGTGTGATTCTTTTTTTTTCCCCTTGCTTTTCCCCCCCTGTTTCTTTTGGATGGAGGTTGTAATAATAGGGTACATATAGAGAATTACTATTACTGGCTGTAAAGAGAATTAAGTGTTACTAGGATAATTGTTCTGATTTTCCTGAGGGTACACCTTCTTATGGGAGCCACATACTTTTAATACCTAATTTGTAAAAAACATCAAATACAAAATAAGTGTATAACGTAGGTGCAGCCACTAAACACAAGTTTGTTATAAGCCCTCAACCATTCTGATACGGACCTACATGATAAGCAGTTTATACTGTGCAATTTTCAAACATTTCCTCAGATTTTTAAATACAGATATTTGCTTCTGGAGAAGCAGATTTCACATGCATTTTATTCTATAATGCAGTAAAAAAAATCTCTAATTCAAACTAATTATGGTGAAGGCATGTCTGAAGTAACGAATTCGTGAGTGTTCAAAATTCATTATATCCTTTTCCTCTTAAATTCACAAGTTACTTATTACTATAGTGTTTGTAAATAAGAGACCTTCCTGATACTGCTTTAATTAATAGATATGTTTAAAATCTGAAACATATTTTGCATGTATATAATTGTGTTCAGTTTATTTTCTTTGGTGTGGGAGCAGGGGGAAGAGATGTAGCATTTCTGTAAAAAGCTATCTCCCTAATGAGGTTAAACTGCCTGAGTCTTGTTTACATTACTGATTTGCTTAGTAAGCACTTTCTCAAGGGGGGTGGGAGAAGAAATTCAGCTTTAACCAAACAAAATGATCCAAAATTTCAAATTGATGAAGTCCAAATAAATAGCCTATACCTTTGAAATTGTTACTGTTGTGTAGTTTTGGACTTCCAATTTTAAAAAATCTATTTTTAAATAAATATGAGACACAAAATATGTTAAAATATATAAAATATTAGTAAAGTGTTCTTACAAGCTGTATTCCATATTATGCAATTAAACTCAAGATTGGAAATTCCCTTTTATTGATTGTCTTCTAGAAACTAGAGAACATGAAAATGAGCTGAATAGAGCTAAAGTGTAATGGATGGTCACATTTTATTGACAAAGCTATAAAACATGAAAAAAAATGGTATAACATGGTTCTTAAAGATGTACAATTATAGAATTATGAATTCTATAAACTAAGGGTATAGCAGTAGAGCAAATTTACATTTATTGGGTTCTTTAAAAATTTGCCCTTCAAATTTGAAATGTTTGTTCATTTATTTGTCCATTGAACAATATTTTATGAGTGTCTTTTTATTGCCAGGCATATGTAATGAATAAAGAGCTTAATAAAACAATCATAACTTTTGCTCTCAATAACTCTTTGTTGAACTCAACCCGAAGAGATAATTTGAGAGAGAGAGAAAAAATATGTATGTACAGAGATCTATGCCATATGGAATAATAGTAATCAACTCAAATCTCCAGAGGGATGCTGGTTAAATAGCTGATAGTCTCCTGATGGGATATATTCATGTACTTGAGTGAATAACATGGACAAACTCTGAAGCTGTGAATGAGTACAGCAGGTGATTTCAGTTGTCCAGGTCTGGAGATGATTCTTGAGTTATGCTCTTGCCCAGACACTGCTACTGTGTGTCTATTTCTTTGGAAGAGGAAACCAGAGCTGGGCATCTATATTAACTGTTGACCTTGTGGTTACTTTGCAGTCAAATAAAGTGCCCGTGGTGCAGCCATCTCATGCAGTCCATCCTCTCACCCCCCTCATCACTTACAGCGACGAGCACTTTTCTCCAGGATCACACCCGTCACACATCCCATCAGATGTCAACTCCAAACAAGGTGAGAGCCCTACCTTCCCAGGCCTTTTTCGTTAAAGGAGGAGCCCTGTCTCATCAGCCTAAGTGACCTCACAGGTGCCTTCATCCCACCTCACTGGGCGGATCAAAATAAATATGTAGGAGACGAGTAATTTATCGGATAGCAATTTTTTATAAACCTGCAAGAATTTGTTGTTGTTTCTTTTATTTTTCAGGATTAAACAACTACAACAACAACAACAAAAAAAAATAGAAGAAAAGCATAGAAGGGTCATTTTCAAAGTGACAGCTCTGAAAATCTAGGGTCCACAATATAAACCAGTATGTTGTACAAATACACTAAAAATGTACTCCTTGGTGCCCCCTGCAGTTATTCATTTATTTCAGCATATACTAGGTGTTGATGGTAGTGTTAAAAGTTAGAAGAGGGACAGAGTGGGAGATTTTTACTTCAGACATTATCTTTGTGAGCCTTTCATGATTTCTTTTGGTTTCAGTTCTATTCTTATTGGGTTTTATCCTTTTTATTACTTACGAGCACCAACTTAGAAACAAGTAATAAACTGTAAAACCATAACATGAATCTTATTTGCTTCTCTACTTTATTACCAAGTTCCTCTTCTATATCATGTACAGAAAAACACGTAGCATAAGAGGTCTGAAAAGTCAGAAGGCTGATGGGTGTGGGTGTGGCGGGCTGTGGGACAAGGCTCCAGCACTCCCAGCCTGCTGGTCCCGTCTCCGCTTTGAGCAAACTTGATGATGAACTTGTTCACGGGATGGCCTTTGCTCTTTCTCCATACATAGCACTTGGACCTCAGTAGCATTTATTTTATTTAGAAGTTCAAAATAAAAAATCTTGTATACCTAAAACTAATATAATATTGAATGTCAACTCTAACTGAAAATAAAGAGAGGAAAAAAAAAAGGTCCTAGAAAACCACGTAAAGGCAGAGAATGCACATATGTAAAATTTGCCATCGCCAGCCCTTCACCCTTTTGTGCAGCCTTACCTCTGACCTATAGCATACAATAAAATGTATTAAGTGTGTAAAGAAAGAGTGTCATTCAGAGGCTAGGTGTTTTTTCCACCACTGTGAGCATTTCTAGGTTAAATACGTAACCCCTTTATTTCCCTCCATGGTTAAAATAGACAACTTATTTGAGGACTTAGTTCCTATGGGACTTTGACTCGAGTGGAGCCCAAGTACCTTTCCTTAGAGAAAGTAAGAATCACCTATGCGGAGGTTTCCAGGCTTGCCTCTGTTTTAGTCCTCATTTCTAGTCCTTTCTCTACTTTTACCAAGGATCTCCAAAGAATAAGAAACATCAAAGACAGGTCTGGTGAGAAAGGGAACTAACTTAGGCATCTTAGGAAGAAGGCTGAGTTTGAGAGGGAAGACCTTGCCTATGTATGACCTTGGTCGTGGCGAGTGTGAGCTATCTGAAGGGATAGCTCAAAAAAGGTAGGCAATCTAAAGATCCCAGCCCCAGAGCAGGGCCTGAGCTAAAGATACACACCTGGGAACCACAAAGATGTAGGCGACCGTTAAAGATAGATGTAAAAGCTCAAACAAGCTATTAGCAAAACGAATCCAAGTGTGTTTTATTAAATGTTTAACTATTTATTCAACAGTTAGTTACATGGTGCTTCCTGTGTCCCAGGCCCTGTTCTGAGCACGTTGAAACGAGCTTATTTAAAAGAATAACACGTCATGGTTCAGTAGTTTTTCTCAAGAATTCTAGGACAGTTCAATATTTTAAAAAGACAAGTGTATGATCAGCGCCAATTACATTTCTGTTTCATCTTCTATTTTCATCTCTTACCGCTACCCTCCCTTGCTTTGCCTTACTAATTGTAATTATGTCATCGCTTCTCAAACTTTTTCTTTTAAACAAATTCTCCAGAACTAGAGAAGGTCCAGAAGTTGTCTGCTTTTGTTGTAAAAAGTCTTTATTTTGTTGTAAAACTTTGTGTTATTTTTGCATTCTACTCCATACACTCTTTGTGTTGGTTTTAATATCAAGATCTTGTTTTTAATTACTTTTTTGTCCTGGACTTCGTGTATCTCATCACCATTGTATTTCAGGGGATATATAAATCTTGGTTTAATAAGAACGAATTTGTATGATTCTGAATTTATATCATTCCATTTGGGTACATTCATCACCAAAAAATAAGTTAGAAAGCTCACTAGGTTTTTTTCCTTTTACCCTTTTTCCCTTCTACAGCCTGCCTTTGGTTATAGCATGTTGCACAACTATTTAGAACATGGTACTGAGGCCAGAGCTACCGATTTCATAGTTCCCAGGAGGCTGGTTAGCTTTATTAACAAAAAAGGAGCATCATGTGCATACTCGAACGCTAGATAGAACCATCCAATTAATATAAACTGTTTGTCAGCAAAACCGATTCTCACTTTTAGGAAAGTATCTTCAGGTTAATTTCCTATTAGGAAGCACGTAAGTTTTTACCTTTCTCTGTGCATTGGTGTGGAGGTGTAGAAAAAGGAAAGGAAGATAATACCAATTGTTTTGTTTTACTCATTATGTCTGGTGAAAATGTTTTTTCACCAGGAAAGAGCTTTTAGGAAATATGGTGTTTATATACCCATTTATATCTTTGTACTAGTCATTGTATCCTTATAAATAACAAAGACTCAACGTATCCTTTATACTGTGTACCAACACTTTTCTGCATTACATATATGATGCTTTTATTCCTCAAAACAACCGCTATTCCATTTTTATTCTGATTTTACAGAATAATAACAAATAACTCCCTCAGAGATATGTAGTTGACAGGCAGAATTGATATATCCATACAGTCTGACTTCAAAATCATTTTATCTATACTAATAAAAGTTACTTACAAAAGCTTAAAAACCGTTGAGGCCAGACGGGATATAGCCTCCAGCACATAGTGAATGTTCAGTAAATGCCAGTTAAATGAGTGGTGTGAAACGTGTCTTTCGTAGACAGCAATTGCTGGAGAGTCACACACTCCTAGGAATCTTTGGAAACAGGATCTTACAACAACAATAAGCCATTTGGAAAACGCAGACCCATTTTCTACTCTAGTAGTGACTTAAGCCACATCATGTACTGTATTTACCTGCAAAATGGTTGATAATGTTGACCCAGCATGGGGAATAGGTCCATCTAAACTCTTTCTGTTTCACTTGTTCAGTCATTCAAAAATACGAGTATTTATTGAGGACCTCCTCTGGAGACAGCTGAGGTTTGATACATATTAGTAGGTTGGTAAAACATGTTCTCTTTTTTTCCAAGCAGTATTTAAGCTCATGCAGGAAATCATTTGCACAAACGAGCTATAAAACAAAATGAAGAACACCTTAAGTACGACGTTAAAAGTACAAATAAAATATTGTAGATTCGAAGAAGAAAGAGATTCCTTGGAGCTTTAAAAGTTAGAGACTATTCCGTGGGAGAGAGGGGTATTTGAAATATGAGTAGAATTTTAATAGAAACAGTAAAATTAAATGCCCAGCATAGAAACTATTATAGCATGTAGCAGGTGCTAAGTAAAGGTTAGTTCCCTCCTTCCTCTTTCGATCAATAAAACCAAATGCAACGAGTTTGTAGTTTTTTGTTCCGCTGGATGACTCCTGCACAGAATCACTGATGTGCAGTTCTAAGAAGACTCAGCACATGGACTCGTGTGGGGAGCAACGTTTTCTGCTTGTCTGCTTAGAGACGTGCCTGCAAGCAAGTTACGGCTCTGTGTTCCAATGATCGAGCCCAGGACAAAATGTATTCTGTGTGTACCCAAACAGGCACTTCACCTCTCTAACCAGAGGGATTCAAGCAGACAATTAAGGTGGCCTCTCACTGCAGATCATGATTTTCAACTTCATATTTTCACAGGGTTTCCAAAGTCCTTCTCAGTTAGTTTGGTTTTTCTTCTCAAAACAGCAGTCCCCCTGCAGACCCTGAGGTTTGGGGAGCTTTCTGAATCCCAGGTAAGGGTGGCAGCCAGTTGGGAAAACTCCCCAGTGATTCTGATACTTCACGAATCACCCCTGTAGGCTCCCCTTAAGATCAACCCTGCTGCCCTTACTTCCCAGACCCAAGAAAAAAATTGCAGAGAACAAACTTTGGGGTCCAGTGTGACCAAAAGAAGCAGTACACCTAGCCCAAAAAAGAGATTTGAAAAACATTCTGTTAAAACAGCGCAACATGAGATGATCATGTAAAAACATGTAAGCCCTGTTGAGGGAGAGATTAAAGACCTTTCTCCTTCCTACCGACTTTCAGTAAGAATTGAGCAATAGATTGTCCTGACTTCAAAGTCAAATTAACATCAACGTTGAAGGCAACACTTCTTAAGTCATTCCCATATGTTTAAGGCCTTCAGTATCTTTTAAGATCCAACAGAAACGTATAATCATTTCAAACAGTAAAAAAGCAGACTACGCAAAGAGCATCTTTCACGTGCTCTCCCAACTCCACATACTGGCCAATATGTTTCTAACAACTGAATGCACCTTCTGGCGGTTCAACCTGGGACTGTGTTTCTACGTATATGGAAATGGCCTTTTAAAGCCAGATGAGCTGTGTAAGGAAACTGTTGTGGCTTTTTTATGTTCGGAATCACTTTCCCCCAAATACACTGAGTCCAAGTTTTTATATTTTGCATGCTTATGCATGTGCTTTACCCCTTCTTTTCTGTACTCAAGGTAAGCTATAAACAAAGACATGTCATTTGGGAGTAGGATTAGGTATAATCTTTAGGTGGTTTTTACAGTTATAGGACAGTGTACGCTAGGGAGTGTGAGCTCAAGAAACAATTTGGTGGCACTCTAATTTTCTGTGGAATACAACTAATCCAGAACAGCTTGACCTTGACGCCCAGAGGACTCAACTTGATGAAGAGCTTAGTTGGAGCCGAAGTGGCAGAGACCAAATGAATCATATCAAGTGTGACCATTATGGGGCTGAAGATGATTCCTAATTAATCTTTGATCCTATGAGGTATCACATTTCCCAAATCTATGTGTCCATAAGGGAGCCGATAAAAAATATGAAAGTGGCAATTTACCTAATCCTTGAGCGCCATGGCAGGCCATCTACTTATGAAGGGCTCTCATTAGCCATTCTACACAAAAGCAGTTGTCTACTATTTTCCTAACCAAAGGGAAATAATGTGGGCAAACTAAATAATTTCAAAGTCTTATTTGATGACTGTTTTACTAGCAGTATAGCTACTCTGTCAGCAGTTCCTCAAGATGGACTTTTTTTTAAAAGATTTTATTGGGGGATCGAAGGAGGGGAACAACATTGGGGAATCGGGGAAGGGGAACAGACAAGTTGCTGTCCTTTTTGTTCTTCAGTCTAGTTGTGGAGAACGTCACTTCACTGGCCCCTGTTGGTATCATCATTGCGCTATTTCCGGGTGAGGCAGTCACTCACCAGCCATTGGATGTCCTCTCACAGCGGCTCATGGCAGCTCACAAAAGCTCACGCCCACTGCCGGCCAGCCCCACTGCAGCCTAAGCCATCACTGGTGACTCACGGCAGCCCAGCTCCAGGTCGAGCTGTTGTTCACCATAACAGCTGTAGAGGACGCAGTGTCACTGGCCCTCATGTGGGATCTGAACCGAGGCCCTGCTGCTCAGAGCTGGTGTCCCAAGCCAACTCCTAACCAACGCGCCACTTGGCTGGCCCAGATGGACTGTTTTTAATGCCTGTTTTCTCAGATGTTGAAATCTTGAGAAAAGATAACAAACTGATTTCTGTTAAATGAATCTGGTAAATAAGTGTTGTTTTATTCTAGACCTTAAGAAGTAATGGAAGAAAGCATTGTATTGCCTTTCTATTGCTGTAAGAGTCCAATGTCCTGTGTATCTGAACGCGCTACTCTCTGTTCTTTTTAATAGGCATGTCCAGACATCCTCCGGCTCCTGAGATCCCTACCTTTTACCCCCTATCTCCGGGTGGTGTTGGACAGATTACCCCCCCACTTGGCTGGTAAGATACTTCCTGCAAACTGAGCCAGGCACTTGAACACATGTTCTTCTACTTTCCATTTGATGGAAATTAGCTTTATGAATGATAACACTTGTAGAGTTGAGGAAATTTCAAATCAACCGGCAAGGTGCTAACTTTATTTCATTTCAATTTATAACATTAAAAAACATACAGACTTTGAAATGGATTGAGTCCGTTTGCTAATATGTGTAGAAAATGACTATGTAACGTTTGCTTTGAAGCTTATAGTTTTATGGATTCAATTTGTGGCTTTGGGCATTTGCTATGCCTGTACAAAGGGCTTAGTGTGGTTTTTCTTGTCTAGTTTTTTATGAAAACTTATATTTTTTAAACAAACTTAGACACCTTGAATATGTACTTTCTTTGCTTATAAATGAGAAAATGAGGTAAATGACAAGTAGAGAGAAATTCAAAAATACAGCAGCATCTTTTGAATTTTAATAAAGTAAGCTCCAATTTGAGTTCAGAGAAGTAAAAAACTAATGTTTGGGGTTTTTTTTCCTCCCTCAGAATCTAAATGTTGTTTATTTCTAAAAAATTCATACAGTTGCTTTCAAAATTTTCTAAATTGTAAAGATAAAGAAAAGGAAATATATTTGAGGAAGAGAGAATAATTTTATATAGTGTAGCCTATTTTTACCATTTTATTGTTAACACACAATTTTCCCTGCTCTCATTCCCGTCCCTCCTCCATTCCTCCCCTCCCCACTGCTCATTCCATGGAAGCAGTCCTTCAACTTTAGCAAATGTTTTCCCTCCTTTCCTTATCTGGATCTCTGACCCTACAGCCCCATGGCATTGCCCCAGTTCCCCTGCCTCTCTTCCTCAACAAGGAAGGGTCATCCTGTCATGGGAATTCCAGCTCACTTGAGCTCTCTCTTTAGTATTAAACCTCTCAGTCAATAACTGAATTTAATTGATTATGCGTACATGTTCAAACCTACATCATCATTCTGTCTGAACTTAACTACTTAGGGGCAATAACCCGTGTGCCGAATTGCGTCTGTGACAGGTGGAAGTAAAGACAATGAAAAATGTGAGATGTGGGAACAGAGGGAGAGATGGACTTCTCAGAGTGGAGGGAAAATCCACTTCAATGACTCGATCTCTTATTGCCTTCTTTCGTCCCTGTCCTGAAATTCTCAGATTTTGATAAAGAATCCACTAACTTCCTTCTCTGAAAGGAATGTGTCACCATTCTCAGGGGTCTGTTATATTCAATAAACTTTTGTTATATGCCTTTGTTCAAAGCATTAGTGGGGTTGGAAGAGGGGAAGGGGGTACAAGACAGGTAATTCATGAACTGGTTTGTTTTTAAAGTTGAGGGTGGGAGATTTTCTTCAAGGCAAAAGAATGTGTTGATTGGGTGGAGGGCAAGGATGGGAAGCAATTGGATAATTGAAGAAAAACTCTGGTCTGTAATATCCCACAAAATTCTATTTGATTACCTCCCTCTTCTCCCCTCATCAAACTCTTACTGCTGGTTGGTAACTCATGTTTTGTCATTGATGGGTTCCTTTCTTCTGTGACCTCAGGCAAGGTCAGCCTGTATATCCCATCACGGGAGGATTCAGGCAACCCTACCCATCCTCACTGTCAGTCGACACTTCCATGTCCAGGTAGGTAGAGGTGGAAACTGGGCACCCCAGGACACGTTGCTCTTCTTGCGCTTGCATTTTGTGCAGCTCTGCTTGCCTCTTGGTTGGCTAGGAGGGTGCATATAGCTCAGCCACGTGTCTGTCTGTGCAGTGTGCCTGGCTCCCACACTAGGTGTCGTAGAGATTCCTGGGTAGGAGCCATACTTTGTGCCCCAGAGCAGGCACCAGCCACACCCACCAGAGAGATGAACTTGGGCACACTGAGAAGCTGTGCCTCCAGAGGACTTCCTTTGCCGCCTGACCGCAGGACAGGAAATGTCCTGAAAGTGGATCTCATAAGAGACTGTTTTAGTCAAAATATGCTGGGGGTGGGGTCAGGGGAAGGATAAAAACTGGTTTGGTCTAAGTTCGATAATTTGCTTTCTTTGAGGAAAGTCATATTCGTTAAATGTGACACTGTTTGAAAAATGCCCAGATAGCCTTCCTGGACCAAGGCTGTCAGAAGAGAAAGAATGGTGCCCACAGGCCATCAGTCCTTCCGGGATGTGTGTCCTAGTGTGTGAATCAGGCCATGTGGCCACACAGTAGTGCCAGTGAAGCTCTGTGAGGTCTGCCGCCACACCGCTCTGTGTCATGCTTTGCTTCTGGACAGGATGGCTTCTGTGCTTGATGTACACACACATTGTGATGTATATCATCTGTGTGTTCGATGTTGCTTTTTCAAGGGAGCTAGCATTATCATGCCAGAAGTCAAACTTTTGGGCTAGTAACTGGTTGTGAATCTTTCTTTACTTTTTATATAGGTATGAAATTTGCAGTTTCTGTGGTGAATTTCAGCTTATTAAAAAACATTATTCAACAAATTGTAAATCTAGTCAGTTGGGAGGGGATGAAATTAATATCCTTCCCCCAAAATATATTTTTACACTTTGTAACATTGTAAGAACTATCTGGTGACAGGATTTTCTCCTAGGCATCATGTGTTTTTGCAAATGGTGCATTTAGCAAAGTTTTATTATTTGATCAAATATTTGTATTTTTACCATGTCGCCTTAATTTTTAAAAATTTGTTTCTGAAATACTACATATCCAAGCAGAGCTCCTTGTTGCCTTCCCGGAAGAAGGAATTAATTGCACAGGCTTTGATGAAAGACCTGAGAATGTTGTTCTTGCTGAATTATGTGTTTACTTTAAATCAGTTTGAAAAGCAAAGATTTCCAAAGCATACCCAAATTTATCCAAAGCACTTGTTGAAAGCACTGTCTGTCTTTATTTTATTTTTCTTGCATGGCAGTTTTCCCTTCTTTGTGTTGGATGGTGGTGGATAGCTTACATTTTTATTATGCTCTACAAGCATACTGGGGGGAAAAAAAACCTTTATTTTGCACGTGTAGCTTTTACCTTGACGCAGAACTGTATTCTTCCCTTTGATTTTGTTAATCGGTTTTCCATAAGGCTTGATCTCTCAGACATTCTTTCTGCAAAGAAAATTATTTTGGATGATGTTAATGGCAATCTTATTAAACTGGGGACTGAAAAAATATCTTCCTGTCCCTGATTTTCTCAGTTGTTCTTTCCTAATATTATTAAAGAAGACCAACGATATGAGACGACTCTGATGGTTTGCTTGGGAATGTAGGCCAAGGTTTTTAAATGTGATGTCTTTCGCTTTTATTTAATAGTCATCTAAAAAGCAAAATCTTAATGAAGTGTTATATTTCCAATAATCGCTCTTACTAAAATTCTTTTGAAAACTGCTTTGCAAGAAAAGTGACTCAATTTTTTTTTTTTGATCCTGTGGCCTAAAGAAAAATGCCAGATTCTACTATTAGTTTGGAAAAAAAAATTCTGTTATGAAGGGAATAATTATAAATATTTCCCACCTGGGCCGGCCGAGTGGCTCAGTTGGTTAAGAGCTCGCTCAAGAGTTTGAGCTCTGAGCAACAGGGTCCCCGGTTTGATTCACGGCCCGAGCTGAGCTGCCGCTGAGCTGCCAACAGGTGGCAGGATGGCTCAGCTAAAAATAAATAAATAAATAAATAAATAAATAAATAAATAAATAAATAAATAAATATTTCCCACCTGAATACAGAAAGGAAAGAAATGAATGATCAACCCATTCTAATTTATAGTTGCTACTGCTGAGTGTAACTGCTAATAGCAGTTAGTGGATTGTTTCCGAATTCTATTGTATCTCGCTTTGGCGACAGCAGCCACTAGTACACCTTGTTCCTTCTCTTTCTTCCCTTTTTTTCAGGTTTTCCCATCACATGATTCCTGGTCCTCCTGGTCCCCACACAACTGGCATCCCTCATCCAGCTATTGTCACGCCTCAGGTCAAACAGGAACACGCCCACACTGACGGCGACCTGATGCACGTGTAAGTCTGCCTGTAGTCTCACCTGTGAATGAATGCCTGAAGACCCTGAGGATTTAATCACAATTTCTTCTTCACTCCTGTTGAACCTCCCCCCTCTTTTGTTGAGGAAATCAGTGTGGCTTTGCTTTGCTTTGCTTTAAGCAGCTTGATTCTCACTGTGAGCTGATTTTGATTCTGAGATTGGAAAGGAGCACAGACCCCAAAAGATCAAGGGAACCTCACCCAAATGGAGTCATCTTCAGAGCACAGGCACTAAATAAGCCTGAGCTGTGTAAGCCTGATTGTTGGGGAGCCCCTGGTGGTGCCTGAAGGGAAGTGGAGAACTCAGTGCTTGCCCAAGGGACAGTTTTCCAGCCTCTTGGCTTCAGAAGCACAGAACTCAAAGGAGTGGGGCATACCAAGCCCAGGATTCGCTGTCGGGCCAGCGTGGGCTCAGTTGTTAACAGCAGGGCTCAGCGCCTTGAGGATAGGAATTGAGTTTCTTACTGTAGGGTTTGCTGACTGGGACATGAGGAGGGGTCCACAGGAAGCACAGGTAGTCCACAAGACCCCAGCACATGTAGGTAAAGCCAACATGCATTTGTTTGGAGGAGACAGTCTGAAGTTTCACGAGCTTGCCCAAGAGGCCCTTGACCTCCCCAAAGTTAAGAACCTCAGCTCTGAAAAAGGAATGACCACTTGTACTAGAGGGCCAGCTTTTCCCGAGGTGACCAAGGAGCTCAGCGTCACACGCCCATTTCCATTTTGTGTTAAGCACTTCTGTAGCTTGGGGGGAATTTTCTCAGACCGAAGGATCCTCACTCACAAAGCTGGAGAAGTTGACCTTCCAAGTTGGTGGTGTTCCGGGGGCTTGTGGAGGGCATAGAGTGTTGTCCCCAGCCTGAGTTTGACCAGTGTAGAGTGTTGTCCCCAGCCTGAGTTTGACCAGTGATGTAACCAGATGCTCTGCTTTCCTCCCATCTCTTCCTTATCCTGTCCCCCCCCCCACCCCAATACCACCACATCCACCTTGTAGGAAGCCTCAGCATGAACAGAGAAAGGAGCAGGAGCCAAAAAGACCTCACATTAAGAAGCCTCTTAATGCTTTTATGTTATACATGAAAGAAATGAGAGCAAATGTCGTGGCTGAGTGTACTCTGAAAGAAAGTGCAGCTATCAACCAGATTCTAGGCAGAAGGGTAAGTATTGGGATGGTATATAAATCTTTGTGGGAAGTGGGGAACTGCCTCCTTAACACCTGACCAAGTGGACTTGCGTGTCAGGTGGTCATAGTAGGCATTTGGGTAGTCACCAGCCACTTTGGGAAGTAACAGAGAACAAGGTACACTGATAACCGTTTGGAGGATTAATTGATAAAATGCATTGTAAACAACTTAGATTGTACCTGGCACATAGAAAACTTCCTGTAAATGATAACCACTTCCCCTGTTTCATCTTTCAACAAGTATGTATTGAGTGTCTTCTATGTGCCAGGCATGGTAGTCCAGCAATTTAGATAATATTTGCTAAATAAAATAGATATCATCCTTGCTTTCATGGAGTTTAAAGTTTTATGACAGGATACAGATAAAAGACAAATAATTGCTGAATAAATAGATAATTAAAATTGTGACAAATTCTCTGTGAATGTACAGAGCAAGATCCTGTGAGAAAGAATAAGAGGGAGCTAGGGAAGGGCCCCTCTGAAGAACATAGTATTTAAACTGAGACCTGAGGGATGAGTAAGGGTTAACCAAGTGATTAGGGGAGGGGAAAGCGGACTCTTCCCAGACGGAGCCATGTGTGTGTGGACTCATGTCTGAAGCAGGAAAGCACTGAACCCACCCAGGGAGCAACTGAAAGGCCTTCCTTGGAGGACCAGCCATGATTCTGGATGAACCCTGGCAAACAGAGGTTGGCCACTCCTTCCAAGATAGAAGCAGCTCTGTGCCACTCAGAAGCTTTAAGTGGGAGAATTTATGTGGCCTAGAGAAGTCTTCATTCTGGAAAAACCATTCTCTGATTGTTAAAGTGTATATGAGGCACGTTTCTGGAGAGCCCCTTTTCTTTTCATCCGTTCTTTCACCCATGCTAAGATATTTTCCTGAGCACATATATACCAGGCACTAGGCTGTCACTAGCACAGTCACGCTAAGATGTTTTTTTTTATCCATCCACCAGCCAAAAGGCTAGTCGGTCTTTCCAGGTATTTTTCTAAAGGATTAAAATGATTCAGATAGGTATCTGAAGAGTGGTGGAAAAAATTTGTATTTTTCTAATTCGAATTATATTTTCACGGCAATAACATTGTAATTTTAGAAATGTTTCATCACAGTTGTTGATGCTCTTCATATATGTGTCGTGGATTCTTAATTGTGCATTTGTGTATTTGTTTTTGCCACCTCTCAAGAAATTCATGATTTGCAAATGAACATTCAGCGAGGAGGGTTTAACAACTTTTATGAGACTTAGAGGATCATGTTTTAGCTGTTATTGATGATCACTTTTACCACATTTGTTACAAACCTAATATATTTCAGCATTCCTATGAGAAAGCATTCAGGTTGGATGAACAGGCAGAGGGAAGCAGAATTGCTTTTCTGCATTATCGATTCCTGTTGGATAACAACAACAACAAAAATACAGCTATTTCCAATCTGCAAGGCACCGGAGTTTCAGGAGTAGGGTGCAGTGGTAGATTATAGCTTTTTGGTGTCTCACGTACAATACTCTATCTCCCTGTGGATTCTTAAACACTTAATAACAGTAATTACAGTGATTTCCCAAGCCAGATCATAGCAAAAGAGTGATTCCCATCATCTTTGAAGAACCCCACCTTATAAAAGCTTAAAAGCTGATGACCATTTCCCCTGACCCTTTAAAAGAAGAAATTAGAAGAAAAGAAGGGTTGACGTTCTTATTTTAGCTTGTGTAAAACTCTTAGCTTTTTTTTTTTTTCTTTTTTGAGTTAAGGTCCCCTGGTCCTCCAGCAGGAATTCTTTTCCTGCTCAAGAAACTAAGGATATGATATGGAGGTATGCTTCCTATTTTTAATGTTTCCCACAGTTGCTACTTTCTCAGCTCCCTTAACAATCCCCAGATCAGAGCATGTGTCCTAACGGATGGCTCTCATTTGGGGTCTCTCTCTGTCTTTGATTTGGACACCTGTTTCTATTTATAGGTCTCTGAGATCTTTGATTAAGATCAGGTTTTCTATCCTTTCATAACTCCCCTCTGGCAGAGTAGTCCTTGCTAGTTCTTTAAAGTTCCTGGCTTTAAAATCATGAAGTTTTACACTGGGATAATTATAATTCTTAAAAGTGGAACTTAACTCCATACCTGAACATTTTATCTTTTGATTTTTATTCATCTTTACTGTATTTCTAAAATAGAAATATTGATTCATATGAATTAATCCAAGTTTTCTTTTTCATATTATAAATAATAACAAATCTTAACTTTCAGATATGCTTTCTTTTTAAGACCTTACCGGCTATTAGAGGAGGTCCACTTATTGCAAATGTATTGTCAGGATTTTTAAATCTTGGAACTGGATGAGTTTCTTCAAATTAAGTGGATATTTTCTCAACAACTTGGTGAAATCTTAATGAAATTTGGTTTTAAAAAACAATTAACTCCTAAGTTTTCACTAAGCACAAATGATACAGAAGCATATTTAGTCAATTGTCTTAGAAATTCCTGTAAAGGAAGACCCGTCTTTCTAGTTTGTACTAGACTTACTTTTGCTTCAATGCAAAACTTTAATACTATTGTTTGACCTATTGTTTTACTCTGGTAAAGGATCTTTGGTGAGTGGATTTTGTGCATTAGAAATATCAGGAAACTAAAAGCAATCAAAAATACAAGTAAATAGTTTAGTCTGTGGCCTGCTTTTCCTCCTTGCAGTTTGCTCAGTTTGGTCTTTCTGCCAACCTGTTTTTGTTTTCACTGTAAAACACCTGGTGGTTTGAGGTGGAAGATCCCAAACTCCATATGCATTTTGGGAGATGAATTTTATAAAACTTCAGGTTTTCTCAGCAAGTTATAAAGCTGCCATAAATTATATAATATTATACTGATATATTGCAGTAGCATAAGACAGATATTACTTGTCAAACCAATAAACAAATTGACAAAGTCAGACTTCTTTCATTAATTTCATTTCCTCTTTGACTTCTTGTTTGTTCCTTGTTGGTAATACACTCTGCCTCTGCCAGTCACATTTATTTACTACCATTATTGTGTAAATATTAATGATTAGCCTTTTCTCAAAAAGAACAATCAAAGCTGACCTTTTCCATTGTGCCAGCCAGCTTGTTTGTTTCTCCCTGTGAAGGTCTCTAGCACCAGGCCAGTGTCTCCGATTTAGGAAAGCTGTCAGTTGGTAGAGGAAGTGTGACTTTTCTTGCCTAGTGTAACCTTCACTGCTGACCCAGACATGCCTTCCTCCTAGGCTCCACTGACTCTCTGCTAGTACGAAGAACTAGGTAGGTCTCAGATAACTTTTTTAGGGTTTTTTTTTCTTTCTTTCTTTTTTCCCCCTACCACCTCCACACCCCCTTCCCCAATTCTTTTTTTTTTAAGAAAAGTCCAGTGTCTCATTTGCCCTTAGGCTCAGGCCAAATCCTGCTGTGTGTCATACTTCTTAACTTTACACTCTGCATTTCTACAGCAATTAAAAAATAAATCATCTACCCAAATCCAACACAGAAGCCCTGGCTTTTAAGGGGCTTTTGAAGGAAATGACATCCGTCGACCTGCCCGTGGGCACCAACCGCACCTGTACTGGGAGGCTGCAGTGGTGGGTGGGACATGGCAGAAGGTGCTTCGGCGCCCTTCTTGAGGTGGGGTGTTCTTAACAAGCAAGAACAGCGGGTGTTTTTGTTTTCCTGGGGAATGCTTCATAGCCATGCTTTAGGGGCTGAGTCCCTGTGGATGACGTAGACACGGCCTCCTCCAGGAGAACGTTCTCATCAAGCTTGCGCTTCCTTTCCTCAATCCAGCCATACCTTCCTTTTCTTCTTCTTGTTTTATCATTGTGAAAACCAAGAACAGGGACATTAAAATCAATGCGCAGGTAGACATGAATGAGAGTCACCTAGCCTGGAATGGAAGGAAGTGAAACGGAAAACTGCACCCCCTAGTGCTGGGGCGAGCAGGAGTCGGGAGGCCCCGGGCCGATTCAGATGCGCGAGTGTGCATGTGGATATACACCAGGTACGGTGCGGACTCAGGTCTGCTGCACCTGCCACCTCTGTGCCTTTGCCTCTGGACAGTGGGTCCCCCAATGCCCAGCCAGTTCTCCTGGAAGGTTCTGTTGACAGATCTGGCCACTGAGGAAGTAGGGAAAATACTTAAAAGACTGCCTACTGGGAGCCTGGGGTAAGCTGTGGGGAAACATGCAGAGCAATGTGCAAATTACAAGCTGCTTAAAATCCCAAACGGTTGCCTTGCCTACATGAGCTATTTTGCTATATATGATACATATCAGTTATGTACCAGGGAAATGGAAACTTTGAGGGATGTCAGCCATTGTAGTCTCCACGTTAGGTACTGCAGCCTCAAATGCTACATGGCAAAAATAAACTTAAATAATGCGCCTTGCTTTCCATCAAAAGGAAACCAAAAACCGTGACCATCAAGTGTGCACGTGTGGTTATGCAATGTTGTCAGTGTCCTGTCTGTAGACAATTAGTGCTTATATAAGCGTGAGGAGAGGGTGGAGAGACTGAGACAGACAGACTGACTTTTGATGTCTTGCTTTATAGACAGGATCATATGATGAAGGTTTCAGACTCTTCATATGACAGAGTGGGAGAGTGTCCATGTGAAGCAAGAATGTATCTGTGGAAAAGACATCTGGAAATTATCACATTTTGCATAAATAAGTGGTACTTAGGCTCAGATATCAGAATATGCTGCAAACTATGAAAAGGGGCTAAGTTGGGTGTTGAGGGGCAGCAGTGAAAGTTCCTTTTAGTTTATATGGGAAAAGAGAAAGAGTGGGTGACAGATCATTTTATTTTGGATACAAAAGCACAGAATAGAGAAACCAGAGTTTGAGTTTCACTCTGGCCACCGGACTCCCACTGGATTTCTGCAGCACTTGGGTCTTCTGCCATTTATAGATAAATGAAAGTTTAAATATTTTCTTTGTATATTAAAAATTAATATTATCATTCTGCAGTGTTTGAAACATGAAATAGATGTGACTGCTTCTGTTTTGCCTACTTTGATTTGATTTTCCCCCCTCCCCTCTTTGTTTTAGTGGCATGCCCTGTCCCGCGAAGAGCAGGCTAAATATTATGAATTAGCGCGGAAGGAAAGACAGCTACATATGCAGCTTTATCCAGGCTGGTCTGCAAGAGACAATTACGTAAGGCCCGTCTACGCACCGACGGCTCTCTGCCTCCACCCATTCTTTCTTTCTATTACTCTCATGAAGGAAATGTGTTTTAGAGTGTATCTAAATGCTGGTACTATTTCCTATTTTGGGGAGTTAATGAACTTTATAATAAAGATTTCATGGATATAGCACAAAGCTTTCATTGCAAGCTTTGAGCTCATATATATATATATATACACATATATATATATATGCGCATATATATGTACAGTAAAACCTTGAATTGCGAATAACTTAGTTTACGAGTGTTCCACAAGATGAGCAAACATTTCTAATACATTTTAACTTGGTGAACGAGCAATGTCTTGCAATACGGATAGTTTGTTTCCGGAACAAATTATGTTCGCAAACCAAGGTATTAACTGTGTGTGTGTGTGTGTGTGTGTGTGTGTGGATGGATGGCTAAAAGTACTAATACTTCTAAGTAAAACTTTTTAAATAAAAATAAAAAGAATACCTTATCATTAAAATGTTGGTGAAACAGGGCCGGCCAACTGGCTCAGTTGGTTAAGAGCTCACTCAAGAGTGCGAGCTCTGAGCAACAAGGTCGCCGGTTCGATTCCCGGCCCGAGCTGAGCACTGCTGAGCTGCCAACAGGGGGCAGGATGGCTGAGCTAATAAAAATAATAATGTTGGTGAAAAAGATTTTTTTAAAGCCCATATTCTCATCATATACAGGCAACATTAGTAACAACTAGTTACATTACCTTCCAGTATTTTTTCTGGGCATATGTTTTTATTTTTTACTTGGATATAAATGTGTGTGTGTGTGTGTGTGTGTGTGTGTATGTACATACACTTTTGTGTTATGTTGGTTGCTCTTGTATATAATAAAGCATTTTTCTGTTAAGGCATAGTGTTTCTATGTGTCAATCTTAATGGCTATATAATATTTCATTGGGTGAATGTCACAGGTTACTTAACGATTTTTCCCTGCTTTTAGAGATTTAAGTTGCTTTCTATTAAGTTACAATTGGAAATAATTCTGCAATGAACATATCTATGTGTAAAATTTTCTGTATTTAGGACTATTATTTCTGTAGGGATAGATTCACAATAGTAGAATTGTTGAATTAAAGAATATAAATATTTTAAAGGCTCTTGATACATATTGTCAAATTGCTTTCTAAAAGGATTATATTACTTTACAATTCTTATAAACGATGTATTCAAGTGACTGTTTTGCCACAGACTAATCAGAACTGGGAAAAAATTTGGTTTTGTTTCATATTAATGTATCTTGATGTCTATGTATTTTATTCAGACACAGTAGGTATTATCATATTTTAAAAATTGTACTAATTTTATTGGCAAAAATACCTCATTTATATTGCCAATTATGTTATTACTTTAGAACTTAAACATCTTACTAATGTAGTCTTGATACAGCAAAGAATATTTCTAAGAAAGTATATTATAAATGATGTAGAGGGGAACAATTTTGATTATTTAAGCTCTTAATTTAAAATTTTGAAGATCATTTTTATTTTCCACATAAGACTGGCATTCAAAATGACAGCTAGGACAGTATTTAGTGAAACTGCCCCTTTTTAAAAAGGCGAGGGTGATGCTATTAATATGGAATTTGACATGTGGCCATTGCTGTAGATGGTCCTATGCGGCTGCCTGCCTGAGGTCTTACATCCCATATAATGAGACACCAAGACGTTTGGAACACATTTGTTCCCTGTAACATGCTCCAAAGAAAAATTCACTATTGGAGCTTAAACTTCGGGTACAGCCATGACATAGGAAGTAAGAGTCCTACTGTTAGTTACTTACAAGCAACAGCTCTTCAGCTCTTCTGAGCTGTTGTTTTAATAACAACCATATGCCAGTTGTCAAGAACTGTGTAAATGCTTTGTGTTATTTCCCAATCCTTATAACAATCCCGTGGCATAAACAGTACTACCACATTTTACAGATGAAGGAGATTGAGGGGTCACGGAGGTTAAGCAATTTGTCCACGGCCCTGGAGTGGCTCGGCTGCAAGTTGCACCCAGGTCCCTGACTTCACCATCTACGCAGTTTTCCTCCTGAGCTGACCGGCTCAGTCTTCCAGGGCCTTCCTAAGAAGACCGCTTTAGTTGGAGAGTTTTCTTCCCTGAACTGGGCATCTGTTCTCTTGGCAGTAATTAGCCTCTTTCTGGGGAGAGCCTTTGTGATACCCTTTAAGTGGGAAGATCAGTTTCCCAACTAAAGACTTTCAAAAGTGCCCTCTTCTAACCCTGCGCTGGACCCCCTTAGGCTGTGGCTCACGGAAAAGGGGCAGGCTGACACTCTCTCTCTGGCCCATGGAAGAGCTTTGCTGTGCTGTGAATTTGTGTAGATTTAATTAGCGTTGCTTGTTGACTATCTTTGAGTGAAGTGTCTGGTTCTGATCCTTACGTAAAGGAGCAAGTTTTCACTCTTAAAAAAGAGATAAACACATATTCTCTCCTTTTCTCCATGTGGAGGGATGGGAAGAAAGTCGTTTTAAAGAAAGCCAGTGCAATGTGAATATACCTTGAAAATTTTTCCTCTGCACAATTTTTAAAGGAAGTTGTTTTGTAAAACTTGATTTTAGGATCCTCTTGACTGAAGGGGAAGCCCAGGTTTGTTCCATACCGTTTTTATAATAAATATAAGCCTACTAATTGAGGCAAACAAAAGTCAAATCAATTGATAGCACTTTAGCTAAAAATAGTATTCTTAAAATATAAGAAATTTGCTTTGTAAATCTTAGTATTTACTGTCAGAATGCTAACCTAATCCTCACTAAGATCATATGAAATATATCTCAATGATTTACTATTAAAATGCCCTATTCCATGGCATCATAGGTTTTAGAACTTCAATTTGTTTTCCTAATTTTATTTTGTATAACTTTTATAACTGAAGTTTTCATAAATCAACAGTGTACATATTTTCTTAGGTAAGGTCAGCCAAATATTTATATTGTTAAAGTTTTTAAATGTAGTGCTTAATAACCCCAGTATTACACTGGGGTGCCAAAAAAAATGTATACAAGTGGACACTTTGGTCAACGTTGCTCAAGCAGTAGTTCGCCGTAATCAGGAGTGTCTGGATGCTGATGGTAACCACTTTGAGCACCTCTTATAATTGCAGAAGTCAAACGTGACTTATATTCTTTTGTTATCGGTTTATATTGAGTATTGCAATTTTAATACAGCTATCCTTTCTTAAAATGTGTATACCTTTTTTTGGCACCCTCTATATAATTTTAATGAAAAATGTTTTTATGTTTATCACATGTGAATTTTGTGTTTTTTATGGGTAAGTTAACCTTCTTTTTACCCTAAATGTAGGTTCTCTCGAAACGCTAGTTTATCCCTGGAATGTAGATAGCATAGGTTATCTCACACAGGCAACAGCAGTCTGAGGCCTCAGGCTACAGTCACGTGTACTAGGCATGTACGAGGTTGCAGAGACGCGGGCGGTGCTCTTAGGAGCCGATGGTCCCGTAATGAGGAGTTCAGGGACAATGGACCATCACAGCACCTGTGCAGAGTTAGACTGTGGCACTGAGCCCTGCCTGGGGGTGCGGTGGTGGGGAGGGATGGGTTAGGACAGAGAAGGTTCCTGGAAAAGATGACATGAGATGAATGTTGAAGGGCAAATGTGAGCTGGGAGGAGAAAGCGAGGAAGACTGTTCCAGACATGAACCGACCTCACAGCACCTTGTGAAAACCACAGTAATTCCATTTGAGACATAGCGGATGCCTGGGAGAAACAGTCTCTCCCGCTGTCTGCTCCCCTCCTCCCAGAGCACCTTCACATATCTTAAAGAGGACTTTGCTATTTTTAATACGCCATTTCCCAGGGCTGCCTTAGTGTTCATGAGAATAGTTTCAGTCAGTGTTCCAGAGCTCTATGCCTTGAATGGTCAGGTCATATGACATGAAGAAAAACTACCTTGAGGTGCATAAAAGGATGACTTTTGTATATTCACACAGTATATTCAGTAGAATCGTGTAGTTTTATTTTTTATTTCTTAATGTGATTATTACAGCAGACATAAGATAGAGATATTGGGTGTGATATGTGTTCTGTTACAGTCACTTGAAAATACCATCCTAATCCAGGGTTGTCGTTTACTATTCCTATAAATCAAATATGTACTGTGTCAATGTCCTATTACAATTATTTTTTGAGGGGAACGTAATTACGAAGAAGAACGGGAAATTAGACCACTATAAGTGGTCTATAAGTTCCACTAAAAGTGGAATTTAAATTTTTACATTTGTGATTAAGATGATTTTGAAATATATTTAAAATTGCACACATACCCATGTTGTTGTGTCTGTTTTAGGTAGCAAGCTCCTTCGTTGGCAGAAATAACCATTTGAAATTACCTTTAGTTTTCTCAAGTTCTTCTTGAACTATCGTTTCTACCTTCTACCACTATCCTTGGTCATGTCATTCTTACACTATTAGGGCTTGAGGAGCCTCAGTTAACATCCGGAACTTTTAATTATATGGTAGAATTGACAGTAAGGAAGATTTATCATGAACACCAGCAGAAGCGGGTTCTAAGTGTGGTGGTTAGAAATAAAAGGTCTGCCCCTCTAAGTGGGCTTTCCTTGAAGGGGACTCTGGGGCCACAGCCCTAGGAAATCATTATCCTAGTATGTGTGTGTAAGATGTCTCCCAGTGTCAGTGCTAATGATACTAAGTATGAAGCTATAGAGACTAAGGTCACAAAGAAATAAGATTTTCTCTCTTTCTCTTGCTTTCTGGCTGTTTCTAGGCACAGATGGGAGGGAGGGAAGGCGGGGGTAGAGAGAATGTATGAGCCGTCTTTGTTGACTGTCTGCTTGTATTTTTGTTTTGCATTTACCCGTGTGTTCACAGTGCAGCTTATAACATAACATGACAATGTGCCCGTCTTCTTCCAGGGTAAGAAAAAGAAGAGGAAGAGAGAGAAACTACAGGAATCTGCATCAGGTAGGCACCGTGTGACTGTGCAGTCAGTTCTCATGCTCTGACAAGCGCCTTTGAAGAAGCGCGCACCTTCCCACACACTGCTTTCCTCTGCAGCCACATCTTGTGATCCTTTAACTCTGCTTTTCCTCCTGAAATTCTTTAAAAACGTGTACGAGACCTTCCCTTTAAATGTGACTATGTTTAAGGTACATCTAAAACCTTTTTTCCCTAAACCCTGTCACCTGGAATCCTGGTTGTTAACTGTGGGTGTTTGTGTTGTTCTTGTTTTGTTTTTGCATCTGTTGTCTGTGTTCTCTTTGCTTTAACACTTCTGTGTGCATAACTCTTTACAATAAGATGTTTTTTTAATGATGATCCTATAATATGCTACCTTATATCCACTTGAGAATTTTTTATGTGGTTTAGGCTATTTAAAATATATAAAACATGATGGCAGGGTTTATCTTTCCTATACATTAATTCAAGGCATCAACCAGTGAGGTCTGTTCATTTTCCCTTTTTCCTTTCTTTAAAAGTAAGGCCACTAGTACTGCACCAATAAAAACGGCTGGTATAAGAACCACAAAGCATAACGCAAACGAGTCCCCATGATGTTGTAGCTGCTACGTATTTGGAATGTTCAAAAACCTCTTCAGTGAAAATTTGTTAAAGACACAATTTTCTGCAGGTACAGGTCCAAGAATGACAGCTGCCTACATCTGAAACATGGTAAGAACGACTCTCTGGTCCTACTGCTGACATTAATTATACACAGAGGCACTTGCTTCTAAATCTTCTTGCTCATACGGATGCCATTCCGCCTTGCTCCTTGAAAGAGGAAACTCCCCCCAAAATCAAACGAGCGCTTTAAAAAATCTGAGGGTTTTTATACCGGCTATGTATTTGCAATATCGTATGCGTTTCTCTCTTCCTTCTTCCCCTTTAATCTTTCTCCATTCCCTTTCCCCTAACTCTTTCTTCTCAACCATTCCTTACTGTGACCAGTGACAGATCTGCCTGCCTAAAAAACAAGCAAGCAACAACAAACCAGCAAACAAAATGCCGCCTTCCTCAGCCAAGGCGGAGCCGGGTCTAAGGCGCCGGGCTCACTCTATCTCAGGACTCGGCAGTCTTTGCTTTTCAGAGACTTCTTCTCAATGGAGATGATCTATAGATACCTAAAAGTAATTTATTTATTTCTAGTGAGAAGAATAGATGTGCTTAATTTTTGTTTCTATTATTTAAAAGTATGGCATAGGGACTACTTATTTGATTAACTGTATTCTGCTATCAAGTTTTTTCTGTATTGGTAACCGTTGCTAGATCTTCCTGTAGTATTTGTAAGTAGTATTCATCTCATTTCTTTTTGCTCTAATTCTTTTATTGTTTGACCACATAACCACCGGCCCAGGGAACCTGGCTTTGTATATTGATTTGGTCTTCGCTAAGCTCTGAATCTGTGGTGTGTCCACCTCTTCTCCTGGTGACGATTCTTTTCAAAAGAGCCACCTTGGATTCTGCTCTCTCTCTAGCAGCCTGCACCCAGGCCCTGTCCGTTTTGTCTTTTTTGGTCTGCCTGGCTTCCCTCTCACACTCATCACCGCCGCAGCCCAGCTCAGGTGCGCACACTTTCCATCTGGATTATTGTAACAGCCTTTGCTCATTTTCCTGCCTCCATCCAGACTTTTTTTCCAGGTCATTCTCCATGTTGCTCCCAGAGGGATTTTCTAAAACACAAATTGATTATGTCACTTCCCAACTCAAAACAGTCAGTGCTTTTCATCGTCTGGAGGATGAAGCCCAAACCACTTAGTGCAGCTGTACGTCTGCCCCTGTCCTCAGAGCTCTGCCTCCAGTCATTCTTGCTCCCCGCCTCTCCTTACCTCCTACGTGTCCCCATGAGTCCCATGCTCAGTCCAAGCAAAATTATTAGCGGTCCCCCTGACAGATGGAGGCCACTGCACACGGTGCCCTGTGCTGGAAAGCCCGTTGCCTCTGTCGGACGAAGGGTTCGGTCTGCAATGTGTCCGAGGAGAAGAGCATTCTCTGCAGGTCATTTGGTCCTTGGCTAGAACCAGGTGACCCTTACTTCATCTTTTAGAACTGAATTCTGGTGCTGACTTTCCCTAAGGAGCCAGCAGAGACTTTGGTACCAAAGAGATCAGAATTTTAAATCCATTGTGTGCGTGGGCAACCAGATTTTTAATCTTCATTTTCCTCATCTGTAGAATGGGAATGATAACACCTACCACCTACGGTTGTGTATGTGTCACGTGTGCCTGCCTTCCTCCGTCCACCCTCAGGTGCCCTGTCCTCCGTGCAGCGTCCCTGATCTTTTTTCGAACTCCCCTGGTTCCTCAAAATTTCATCACTGTAGTTTCACGATATCAAAACTATTCTAAACTAGCACTGAGTGGCAGGCTGTTCTGAGTAAAAAGAGGATCATCCCTTCATCTAGGTGTCCAAACAAGGTATCCAAAAAATATATATATATATCACAGACACCCATATTTAATTCAACCTAATAGCTATTAATTGAGGACCTGTTCTGAGCAGGCCTCCCCACTTGGCTAGAGGAGGCAGAACTAACTTAATCACAGGCCCTGCCCCCAGAAGATCGCGGCATCACAATAGAAGTAATTCTGGTAACAATCATGTACACAAGTTTTTGTGGGCTTTTTGCATCCCTTTTTTTTTTGGAAAGAATGTTGTCCTTTTAATTACTGAATACAGATATGGACAGAAGTAGTTCCATGCTCTTCCTCTAAATGGAAAATCCTCCAAAGTTCAGAGTGCTGAGAACGGACATTCACTGATTTACTCCATCTCTGATGACACCAAAACCTTCCTTTAACACTGTTTCTATTAAAAATCACGCAGAAATGTGTTTCTTATTTCAGCCTCTGGTATTTCATTTTGTGTCCTTGATTAACGTTACATGGTATTTTAGAAGAGTAAAGCTGAGTATATTTTTGTCCTAGGATATATCTCAAACATCTTTTTTTAAAAATAAGTCACAGCTATCGTTGTGCTTTCTTGTATTTTTTTTTGTAAAGGTTAAGATGTCCTCTCTAACCTGTACCAGAAAAACAAAACTAAGTGCCCCCCATTCCCCTCAAGAAAAAATCCCCACCAGCCGCCTGGTGAGGCTGCGGACTGAGGAGGGTCACTTCCTTGGGGTCCCTAGTGACCCTCTCCCATCTCTGCTGGGTCAGCCCTGCAGCCTTTGAAGTCACTGTCCTCCACTCTGTCCCATTTTAGAGAGCAGCACTGGCAGTATTTTGATTAGAATACTGAGCAGAGAGGAGCTCAGATTTGCATTTGTAAAGATTTCAGTCAATTAGGAATGATAGTATTCCCACTCTTCCCCTCACCTCTTTCTTTGTTTTAGGAATTCAGAAGCTTTGGTGTGTACAGTAGTTGGTTGTTTCGTCATTATTCAGCGTTTATTGAGCACCTAATAAATGCCAGATTGCTTCCTAAGACCTGGAAATAGGGTGTTGAATGAGGCAAAGGAGTTCCCTGCTCTCGTTGTGTTTGCTATGAGGGTAGTCGATGAAAAATAAATAGGAAAATGTAAGTGCTGTCATAAAAATACAGCGGGAGTGGACTTGGCAGTCTGCTTCAGGTTGGATGGTCAGGAAGGGCCCTTCTGAGGAGGTGATGCTTGGCAATACCAGATGGTTATCCCTGAAAAGTGAGGAGGGTATTCTGTGTGTGGTTATGGAACAGAGCAGTGGGAAAGAAATGAAAGACAAGGGAAGCAGCGCCTCGTGTTGTAGAAGGAGCTTAGACTAGCACTGAGGCCCCTGGCCTCTCAGATTAGCCCTCTGCAAGCTGCCTGGCCTGGGGCAGGTCATGTGATGCTGGTGGGCCTCTGGTTCCTCAGGCATGAATGAAAGGGCTCTCTCCGCGACCTTGAAGGTCCCTGGCTGCTCAGATCTAACTTGCTAGTCTGCTTTGCTCTCCGTGGTCTACACTGCCTCCCAGTGTCATTAAAGAGACTTGGCTCTGTTCTATCGTCACTGATTTGTAGGCCTCATTCTATATCTGAGTGGTTTTTGTGTAACTATGAAGGCACCTGTATGATCTCAAAAATGACTTGTACATGCTGCGGGTGGTTTTCAGTTGTGCATAGATCACTCTGCCTGCCCTTCTCCTCCCCAGAACAAGGGCCTCAGTCAGAAACACTGCCTCTATCTGGGCGTTTGATCCTCCGCTGACGTGATCATAGGATGATGAGCTAAATCGCTCATGCTCCTCCCTGCAGTAAAGTAAAGCTGAGGGAGCACAGGGCAGGGAGACATCACATCGTGACTCTTTAACAGGAAGATATTTTTTTGAGAAGGTTTATCTCTTATATACACAGTGAAACTTAACACTATTTTGGTGTCCTTAAAGAAAATTTCTACGTCCATGTATGTGGCTAAAATGCTAGAGAACGCACATTACTAGGGTGGGACAATGAACTTGAAGGAAAATACCCCCACTAATAGGAAGAGACTATCCTCAGTGAACCAAAAAGCCCTCTAAAAACATGTGTTTCTCCTCCTTAAAAGGTGTATGTTTCATCTAATGCTTTCATTTTGGGGGGGGGGTGTGTGTATGGGGGGGGGGAGGGGAAATGCCATTGCAATTGCCTAATGCAACCCAAAATAGAAATTGGCTCATTAAGCAGTCCCTCAGTCCCCATTGTGTCCCCATCTTCCTGTGTGGTTTTACTTGCATGTATTATAAGAGTATTTACTCTGATGAAATCCTGGTGAAACAAAGAAATTAGCGTCAACCCAGTCGCAACACCTTTCAACAGTTTCTTGGATAATTAGAAATGTGATCCATGAAAGACATTTCTCCAGGTTGGTGGAGGTGACTCCCAAGCTGTTGGTCTTTCAAGAAAGCCAAGTTCACCCTTAGCTTTTTGGACTAATTTGTCACTTGTGGGAATGCTGGGAGCCCAGGGCCACAGGGAATGAGACTGCACATTCTCCTGAGCCCAGCTGGAAGGCCAGGATCATGAAGGCCAATCGTTTGTTTATTCACTCTGCAAATATCCAGTGAAGACTAATGCAAATCAAGAACTGTATTAGGCAGCGAGAGTACTTGCTAAACCGACCCTGTCCCTTCCTGAAGAACTCAAGAGTTTAATAAGATACAGACATACAAATGGGTAATTATAAAATGTTTTCTGCTATGAAGGAGGTACATTATGTAAAAATAAAGAGAACAGAAAGTATGTAAATCAGAGTGCAGTCAAGGAAGGCTTCCTGGAGTAGGTAACATTTGAGCTGTCCTGTCGTGAGGGAATTTTTGGATTTGATAGAATTGTGATTGAGTTGCTGTGAGTTTCCAGTGTTTGGGTACATGTTTGATTTGGAATATGTAACATCTCAAGCATTTGTCAGAAGTCAGAGATTACCATCAAATAACCAAACTTCTTTCTCGTCCTGACTTAAGATTCATAAGGAATTAAAGAAGCAAAGGATTACAATTTTTGAAAAACTGGAGAGGATTATCGTTCCGAGTTGACTAATTTAAAAATATGGCTTTACAAATTGTTTAATATTTCCTTTAACAAAACAAATACAAAAAGCCCACCATCTTAAAATTATATAGATTGAAAAGATATTCTTGTGATATTTCAGTGTATTTCCTTTGATTATGTAACATCAAAGAACTATTGAGTTGTCAGAAAAGTCATGACACATTTTTGCAACGAAATACATAGAAAA